AATTCAAAGGGAACTTCCCATGTGGAAGCTGTTCACAACCTTCTTTGGGGGTACAAGGTGCAACAATATGCTCTTCTCACCATTTCTGCGTCAATGTATGTCTGCCAGAAAGCAGATCAACCAGACCGCTCACTGCCGGAAGAAGACCAGGGAGATGACGGTGGGGAGATCTCAGAAGAAAGTCTTATTAACTTTGGCCGGGATGGAACCTGGGCTGAGCACCCGCTCCAGATTGCCTTACTAAAGCTTCTAAAGGTTCTTATCATATTGGAGCATCATGTATGCCCACCACTTGCCAATCAAAAAGACCACGACCTAAACCCACCAAACCCACAGCGGCATCCAGAACAGCAATCCTCAACCTTGGCTCGAGAATGGCAAACAGCAATGATGTTCCAGCAGTCGATCAAAGCAGCACGTTATGTAGCCAGTCAGCCTATTACAGCTCAGGGGATGTTTGTTTCAGCAGCTGCCCGAGCTTTGCACCCACAGTATGGCTGTGCTATGCACCCGGCCTGGGTCACCCTGCTGTGTGAGGTTCTACCATATCTAGGACGATCACTGGGCATCATTGTATCACCAATAATAGCCCAGATCTGCAGGAATTTGGATGAGCTTGTCAAACAGCATGAACATGACGGAATCAAAGGTTCACACAAGTAAGTACTATGTAGGTACAATTTATATTTATGAAATATATTGTTATTTCTTTGCAACTATTTCTACTTTGTTTTTCAGTAGTACCCTAAAGAGGGAGAACATCGCACCAGACTATCCTCTGACTCTACTGGAAGGGCTGACCACCATTTCACACTATTGTCTTCTAGACCACAAAAAGGTATTTTAATTTTAAAAGATGTTAACTCCACATCCCAATCTTTGCCAATGCAGCTTTTCCATCAAATTTTAGTAAGGGCACTTATGACCTTCATTCTGCTACATCATTCTAGTTCTGCTTGACACCATAGCAATATTCTCAATGCTGCTTGCACATAATAATGGAAATTGGAGACCATCGTATCATATGCTGCACATGTTGTGGCTTATAATGCTCAAACATTATGATTCAAGCTATGATGTTTTTGTTCTGGTCTATCAGTGAGCTCAACAACTGACCAGTCAGCAATTAACAGAATGATGTTGAGTTTTTTTCGGACTCATTGGCCCGACTTAGCCTGCTTTTAGAACCTCTTCCAAATGGCTGTGAATATTTGGTGCTAAAGTTTACAGAAAGGAGTGGGAAGCCCCTAAAAGTATGCCAAGATGAGCCGTGCCATTACAAAACAAGTGGGTGGAAAAATGGCTATAGATTGAAATTGTTCAAGATAATTGCATGAATTCCATGATTCCAAAGGTCCTGGAAGGTTTGCTATTTCTTTTTAGATTTCTATAGACTTAAATGGCTGATTTTATACACAACACAGTGCAGGGTGAATGTAGATTTGATACAAGCTGCAATCATGAGAGACAAAACTTCTCTAACCGCTATCTTTGACCCTTTATTAAGGAAAAGAGTGATTATTAAATAAAAATTTTTATACTTAGATTTAGCCTTCAGAGTTTTGAAGGGTCTAAATTGGTAACTAACATGGCAGTCACTTATATTAGCCATACTTGAATTGGAGCTTACATATTTGTTTTGGGTTGGTTTGTTTTGGTTTGCAAGTTACTCATCTGTTTTTTTTTAGTTGTTTGTTTTTGGAAGGGGGGGGGGGTCTTTTTGTCAGTAATCTATAATTTATACTTTTTAATTTTAATACTGTGAATTGTTTCTGTTGTAGAATAAACAGGGTGGTGGTCAAATTAATATCAACCTGAATGAATGATAAATGTTGTTTCAATATTAGCTTATCGTCCTATATGTTTGGATTATGTTTAATCTACAAAAACAATAGAAACATTCAAAAAAGGTAAAAATCTATTACTGTACAATTTTTTCAGCATGAACAACTGTTTGAAGGGTTCTATTTAAGAGGACAGAATTGGTTCCTGAACATTGATAATTTTCTGCCATACATTTAAGAGAATGTAGTTTTGCTTTATTAAAGGACTATATGTTTTTAGGGTACAGTATATGAAGATAAATTGGCGGGTTAAAGATAGCGTGTATATAATAACCAAATTGACTATTTTTGTCCAAGGAACCATTAATAGAAACCTTCTTGACAAAGTTTCCTTCGTTTGGTCCTTGTGCCTGCTGAGATACAGCTATAATTAAATGAATGTGCCTCTGTCGCAAAACCATTTCACATTTTACTTTGTTTTTCTGAAGGGATCTCCAGGCTGTGAAGTTCCAGACTTGCGCAATGCCAGCAATGCAATCATTGAGGAGTTTCCACACATGATTAGCAGTATGGCATTACTTTGGGGTGTGGTCAAGGGCTGTAACAATAACCATGGCAACAGAGCCACATCTACATCTGTGTACTTTAAAAGCACAAAGGTAAATTTGAGTTAAACAAAAGTTGGTGTTTCAAAAGTTGAGCCAGTCACATTTTTTTTGTCCATTTTAGATCTTGCGGCAAAAGATTTTGGAGTTTCTAACACCACTAACGCAACAGTTTGGGGTGCAAGTCATGGCTTCAGTGGCCTCTGTATGGAGTAGCAGGAAGAGCCGAAAAAGACGCTCCAGAAACAAGGTGAAACAACAGTGCCAGAATATTAACCTTTTGTCTTTTAAAAACAATTATTATTAGTCTAATGTTCATCAACTTAAATAGGGATCCATTGTGGGGGTGGGGGTGCAGATGTTGGAGTGTCACCTCAAATCTTTATTAATGTAATAGTTTTGGAATAGTCTAAAGACCCCTTGGACCAAGGGAAAAGAGTCTGACTCTGCCATATTGTATTTGTTTTTCGCATGGAGAACGACCAATGACTGACTCTTTTGATTATGTGAGTAGGACGTAAAAGAGCCACTTGGTGGAGCTCATCCCACATTTTCATAATGACTTCACACAGGAAAGAAGAAGACGACATCAAAGAAATCAAAAAACATGTATAAAAAAATCATGGATGTCATGCAGTTTATACTGTTGGTGTCTGATCACATGGAGCTGTTTAACAAACGCAATAAAGATTACAAATATGTGGAGAAAAGAGATAAACGCCATAAACGCCATCTTTAGGCAGGGTGCGTCATTGCATCAATATTTCCTCAACCAAGAGGAAGAGCTCAATTCAGACAGGTGTTAACACCTATTGGTAGTGCATCCAGTAGAGAAGATTGTTCGCCACAAGAACACACACACACACTCTACTCTTAAGCAAACCATTAGATGAAATGGTCACAATACCCACCATGATCCTGACCAGATATTTAGCAAAAATAAACATATCCCTGTAATGGGGATACATTGAGCTAGAACCCCAGTGACCCTAACCAGGGATAAGTATTTCATCGAAAATGTAAAATGGATGGATTAAAAACAATTGTTTTTTGTTATTTTTTTATTAATTCAAACAAACCTTTTTGTCAATAAAAAGCTTTGTCTTCGTTTTCACATTATCAGATTTTACCAGATGCAAGTGATGCCCAAATGACACTAGTGGATCTAGTAAAGGCATTAAGCACACTACGCACAGATACCGTACTGCAGCTCATCAGAGAAGTGGTGAAGAAACCCCATCAGATCAAAGGAGACCAGGTATGTTTGCATATGTTAACCTATACTGGGCCCTGCGATGGACTGGCGAACTGTCCAGGGTGTACCCCCGCCTCTCGCCCAATGTGTGCCGGAGATAGGCACCGGCAGACCCCCGTGACCCCGAAAGGGAATAAGCGGGAATGGAAAATGAATGAATGAATGAATGAACCTATACTGGTAATTACTAGATGCTTCCTTGACTAGATGCTTGCTGCCAGCATCTGAATAAAAGTGGTTTATAGCAGGTGTTCTCATTAGGAACAAACATTTGGGTTGCAGCATGATTTCTGGCTAATTATTTCATTGATGATTTGGAAAGAACGAGAACTGTACAGTTGTAATCTGTAGTTAAACTTTAAAAAGTTGCATGGTTTTAATTTTACATCTGTTTTTATGGTAAATATCATCTGCAGTTTTTTTTTTAAGAAATATTGGCACTGGCGTAGTTTGTCTTCCTTGCACATTCATTGAAAGCTTGGGGTCTAATTTTGCGGTACCTAACGATGCACCACTCCTACATTGCAGCTGGATAATATTGGTTTATATCTGAATTTACCATTTTAATAACTTTGCAAGACAGCTATGCTTGTGACCCCATAACCACCTGCCACATCGCCACTGATGTGCTAAAAGTCTGTTTGAGTCTGAATTTGCTTTCCAAAATTGTAGACGTGTGTTTAATAAATGGTCTCTTTTCATTTGAATATAGTCAACTCTCTTTCTCTCCATCAGAAATCTACTTTAGTTGACGTTCCAATGCTACAGTTTAGCTACATCTACATTCAAAGGTAACTCTTCATTATTATAAAATCATAACTTTTGCCTTGAAATGTCCAAAGTCCAGCGAACAATTCAGGTGGAATTATGTTTTTTTATTTCAATCCTTGTCTTTCAGTCTTTCCGCTCAAGCACTTCAGGAGAACATCAATCCCCTTCTCAGTCTCCTCCGAGAATCTGTCCAGCTCAATCTTGCTCCACCAGGACACTTCCTGCTACTTGGGTGAATAAAAAGCAATGATGGGATAATTAGGAGCACAGTTATATCCACTCATACTTAATTAGAACCTTGTTTCTTTTACAATAAATCAGTAAATCCCTGTAAAACTTCATCAAAACCAGCAAAACATATAAACATGCTCATAAAACTCTCAATGCTATAATCCTGATTCACACCAAAGTGGTGCAGTCCTGTTTTTTTTATTGGAGAATGTCAACTTTCAGTGAAGAGATATGTCTCAAATTTATGCCAATGACAGCTTGTTTGGGGCATTCAATAGAAGATTAGTCTTAATCACACAAGGTCTCGTTTTTGCAGACATTTTAGTCCAAAGCAACTTACTTTTTTTCAATTCTTGCTTTTCCGGGGTTAGAACCCACGACTTTCGCATTGCTAACACAATGCTCTACTGACTGAGCAACAGGAAAGCTATATGTTTGCTGTTAAGAGAAGTTCATTCATGCTGTTAAACGTGATTTCCGAATACTTTATGATCTCTAAACATTTAGAGACTTGACTTTGGAAATGGTGCATGGAGTGAATTCAAATTGTCTTGCTCCACTATTGTTATGTGAAAGTCCCAATGCAAAAAAAAAACAAAAAACATTCTGTTCATCATTTTTAATGTCTTTCTATGACCGGTTGTACAGAAATCCTTTTTTATGCATCAGGTAATGTTTTCAACAACCGAGCAAACTGTGCACCTTAAAGAATTGCAGCTGTTTGAAAGTAAATGGTGCTCACACCAAATATTGATTTGATTGAGTTTTCTTATTCATTCACTGCATTGTCTTTTATTGATGAAAACGAATGGTTATAAATATAATGTGTTAATAAGTGAGAACATTAGGAGCTCTAATGTTTGTTTTTTTTACTCTCACAGTATCCTTAATGACTGTGTAAATAGACTTCCGAATACTGACAACAAAAGGGATTCTAAAGAGCTGCAGGTACGACTGCTAACTCATCTGCAAACCGAGCAAAAATGTTCAAATGTGAGAGATTTTTTAGTCTTTGAAGGTTTGTTGAAATGGTAGCTGTTCTTCACAGGAAGTTTGCCAGCGTATTCTGGAAGCGGTTGGAGCTGTGGCCGGCTCGTCTCTTGAACAGACTAGCTGGCTCAGTCGAAACCTGGAAGTGAAAGCACAGCCTCAAATCTGTCTGCAAGAAAATGAAGATGAACAAGATTGCCATGAGTTTGATGGTAAATATGTCAAACATCTACACTGAATAAGGTTTCCATTAGATCTGGTTGCTGAGGTGGTATTTTACTTGAACATTTTTATTCTTGCTTGTTTTGAAAAGCAGTCCTAGCAATATGAGCTAAGTACAACATAACAACACACTTGTCAAAAGGTTTTTTTGAATTGTACTGAATTAATTGGAGCTACTAAATTGACGTTTAAGTAGCTTCTTAATAATAACCTGCAGTAAATATTTGCTAACATCATAATCTTCTGGAACTTTGCTAACAAAAACATTTATGTAACCGGACCTCTTAAGTTATAATCAACCTTTTACTTTTGTCGAATATATTAGGTTTGACCGACTGTGCTAAGTTCCTTTTACTTTTGGGACCTGACAAGGCTCTTCTGACTTAATCTTCCATGTTGCTGTATTTTTTACTTTTCATCTCTTTTTTTGTTTGTCAGAGAGTGGGGGACAGGGCAGCGCTATGGTGTCATCTTCAGCACCATCTGTATTCAGCGTTCAAGCTCTAATTCTGCTGGCTGAGGTAATAAAAAAGCAGACACAGACTTGCAACTGAATTGCATTGTGGACTTAAACAATGGTACAAAGTAAAATAATTAATTTTATGAAGTAAGAGTAGAAATGTGATATTTCGAGGGAATCAATCAAGCTTTTATTTGTCACACTGTTACATGCAGTGAACTTGGACCCCTCTGACCACAAACACAGACAAGGGGAGACAGGTCTGTGTTGAGAGGTACAATGGGAAAGTTAGCTCAAAAATACCCCTCCCGCTTTGTCCACCATAGGGCAGTGTGAGATCAGGGTGGGAAAAAAGCCTCAACAAGCACATATCAGACTTAAAACAAAATATTGCAGGAGGGGATGAGGTGGAGGGCTGTTCATAATAACACATGTAAACAACAGTGTTTCCTGCTGCCTTTCTTCCGGTTCGACCTGCTCATTTAGACTGTTTGGTAGAAGCATGTGAAGGCTATTGTCCTTGAAAAGGAAAGAGTGCTTCTCGTTATCTTGTTTTCACCGGGGAGTTGTTTTGGCTTGAGAAAAGGATTAGCTTGTGATTTCTCATTTCTGTTTATTGTTTTTGTAGATTCTAGCCCCTCTGCTTGACATGGTTTACCGAAGTGATGAAAAGGAGAAAGCTGTTCCTCTCATTTCGAGGATCATGTACTATGTATTTCCCTATCTAAAGAATCACAGGTGAGATGTTGAAAGGCTTTGCTCTTTTTGATGCATTGTTTTATGAAAAGCATGATCTCTTTTTTTTATTGTTGGTGGCCAATTAATTGTTTTTCCGTGTCTTCCAGTGCCTATAACATGCCTAGTTTCTGTGCTGGGGCTCAGCTGCTGAGCAGTCTGAGTGGATATGCCTACACCAAGCGAGCTTGGAAGAAAGAGGTGCTGGAGCTCTTTATGGACCCTCTGTTTTACACCATGGAGTCTTCTTGTTCATGCCAGTAAGATATTTGGTGACTTTTCAAATGTTTGTTATGGAAGAAATGACAATAATTTCAAAATTGCATAATTTACTGCATATTATTATTTTTACCAAATGCTTTTGTGCTTTAGTTGGAGATCCATCATAGACCATCTTCTGACTCATGAGAAAACCATGTTCAAAGACTTAATGAGTGAGTATTTCTCAGTGCTCCAACAATATTTTTTTTATTTTATATCAAAATAGGCTTTACTTTTGAACATTCAATAAAATCTTGTCATTGTTTTTTTTTCCACAAAACTTCATATTGGTCATACATTCCAGCTCTGTCTCTTTAATTTCGTAAGATGCAAAAAGCACCAGTCGATTGGTCCATATACATTTGGACCAATCCATGATTTTTGATCATATGAACCCTTTCAGTAACACATCTGTACATCGGTTTTGTAAAAATAAAATGAGTAATTTTGAGGACATGTTTTCCGACCACATGGTGGCATTATAGTCATGTGATCAAAAAGTGGTCCGTGGATTGCTCTGAATTGTTTATTTTTTATTGCCGTTCATATATTTGTAACTCTCAGAAGAGGAAGTTTTTAATGGTTTTGTAGTGAGCACAGTGTTCGATACTGTTCTGATAATAAAAGTGTAGGCTTTGTACCTCAGACAGCTCTGGATGTGAGGTCAGATTGTTTTCTAATTGTTAAATTCCACAGGTATGCAGAGCAGCTCTCTGAAACTGTTCAACAGCGCTGAGCAGAAGCCCATGTTGATCAAGCGACAGGCTTTCGCCATGTTTAGCGGAGAGAACGACCAGTACCACTTCTATTTGCCTCTCATCCAAGGTACCGAGTCTAGTTACTTGGAACAAAATATATTAATTTAAATGGTATTCCAGCTAACTTTTTCTGTTCTAATGACCTTCTAGAACGTCTCACAGAGAACCTGCGCGTGGGACAGACCCCAGCAGTGTGCGCTCAGATGTTCCTCATGTTTCGGGTTCTCCTTTTGAGGATCTCACCACAGCATCTGACCTCTCTGTGGCCAATCATGGTGACTGAGCTGGTGAGAATCTGCATTTTTCATTAGCTCTCTTCTTGTTCTTTAAAGATGCTCTGTGTGTTAAACAAGTGAGTGAAGCTCAATTTTCTGCAGAAATGGTTCAAAAATGTTTCATAAATCTTATAAACTCGGTCATTTATTTTGTTTTGTGTAAATTTAGCAAAAACGGTTCACAAAAAGGTAAATGGCACCTTCAAGCAACCTTAATGATTTTTTGTGATTAATACATCTTAATACATAAAATACATCTTTCACCAATTGCTCTTTTTTATGGAAGGATATTTCTTAGACAGTGCTAATAGACACATAAATATTGTTGGCATATTTTGCAACAGCTGAAATGTACACTTTACGGTAAAATTACTAATTTCCCAGCTAATGTCACACTACTTCTTAGTTGCCATAATTAGGGTTTGAGGTTAGATTTAATTGCATAGCATCTGTAACATACGTCATAAGCTGACAGCGCACAGTTTCATTGGCCCCTTCACAACAGTAGAAGTGAAAAATGTTTTTAATTGTTTATGAATTCTGACCTCTAGTGATCAAATAACATCAATGTACAAGATCTCAATAATGGCATCTAATAAAAAACTGTAAAAACAAATTTACTAAAACTTCTAAAAACCCATATAATTAGATAAAAACATAAAAAAAAAATTTAATCCAACTGGTTTTAGAAAGAGACTTCAAATAAGCAAGAAATGGAGCATAGGCATCTTGATTTTGGTGTTTGTTAGAAAGAGGGCTGTCTAAATAATTATTTGTAGTTTGAAATTAAGTTCTTTGCTACTTGTGAGTTTCGGGTTTAACTGAAAGCAGAGAATATACAAATTACTTGTGATTTTATTAATTGTTCTTCGCTTCTAATGTTATTTTTTGCCCGTCTTTAAAGAAGTTTAAACAGCAATGTTGAATTTTTCAGATACGTATATTTAACCGCCTTGAGAAGACGCTGCTGGATGATAAAGAAGCTTCAAAGTAAGTATTCTTGCTATATATGCTCCTAGGGTTTTTAAGGAATGTTTTTTTTTCAACATTTTTCATTTTTTTATTACTATTCCGATCTTGGACCATAATCAAAGAACAACATCCACAACGTGAAATAACTCTATAAGAATCAGATTTTAAATAAGAAAATGAACTGTTAAATAATTTTGTGCGGAAATGCTAATAGCATGATCTAAACATGCTATTCTCAAATCTGGAGAACGGCCAAATAGATTAAAAAAATGTTAAAACACACTGCTTTATATTCATGGAGAATGAGCCCAGTTAAATTGAAGGTGAGGTGTTCCTTAAGCCTCATTTTAACCACCATAATTTGTGTTTCAGAAGTAAGATGAGAGGTGGCCATGACCGGAACGGCTTGCTGTGTTTCCCTCAAACAGAGCTGGACATGTATCTCTCAGCCAGCAAGTTCCTGGACACAGCGGTCTCCTTCCCCCCAGAGCAAATGCCTCTGTTTCAAATGTGAGACTCCTTTAATCTCTGTTTAATCAAATTAACTTTTTTTTACTATTTGCGTCACTGCAAGTTTAACAAAACTATTTTCTTTGGCTAAAAAACTATTATGTTGTTTTATGGAATAAATATAATATAATAAATATAATAAATATTGTCTTTCATGTGCTTCACCTAACAAAGGTGCAGACATCATCTATTAACACAACAACTCCTGACTTTTAGGGACTAGAACACAAATGAACGATTGTGCA